TACTCTGCAAAATTTCAGTCAGTTCATAACAAAAAATTTTAAAAATATTTGTCATTTGACATTTGTTATGTGACAAGTACTATTATGAAAAATATATAATCCTTCTCAAACTAGAGGCGTAGTCAATGCACAAACAATTATGTACATTTCCAGTAGCATAAATACATAAGAAATAAAAATTGTTCCCAGTAGCACTAAGATGCTATTCCATATACCTTAAAATGGAAGAAATATGGAGAAGTTTTCCCCATGGAAAGCTATAGTAGTTTTACTTTCACTTATCTTCCCACTAAGTACAAATAAAACTGATAGCTATTTTATTGAAGACACATACGATTGTGAATATGGAGAGACTCCAGACTAGCTAGAAACTACAGGATCCAAAGGGCAACACATGGGAAGTTCCCAGGATTTCCTTTCTGCCTCATGTGTGTCTCAACTGGACCTGAAGAAACTGACATCAAGAAATGTTAACACAGATCAAAAAAAGCTCCAACATAAGTCAAAACCTAAATCAAAGGAATAGAAAAACAGCAGCAGAGCAAAACAGAAAACTTCTAAACAATGACTGCTCTTCTCCAGACAATGTGCTATATACACTTACCAGAATGCCTAAAATAAATTTTGGCAAGAGAATGGAGGAACTGAACTACTCATAAGTTATTGGCGGAAAGTAAAATGGTACAGTCACTCTGGTAAACAGTTTGATAATTTCTTTAAAACTAATCATACAACTGCCATATAACTCAGCAATTGTGCTCATGGGCATCTATGCCAGAACACACAGAAATATACCCACAAATGTTTATAGCAACATTATTAGACCTTTGTCATGAAGTAATAAATATTTATTTATTTGTTACTATTTATTTAATTTGCCATTAAGTCATAAATATTTATTTTCAACTAAGCAAAAGAAGGTAATAAAAAAAAAAACTATTGACACAGGCAGTAACTTGTCTCAAATAAATCTCCAGACATTTTTGCTGAGTGAAAAACATCAATCCAAAACATTAAAAATTGTATATTTCAATTTACATAAAATTCTAGAAAGGAAAATAAAGTGGGAGTTGTCAGCGGTCTAACTATGGCAAAAGTCCAAGAGGCAAGAAGGAGGGGCTACAGAAGGTAAAAAGAAAAGGTCCTTGTAGTGATAAAAATGTAATGTATCGTGTCTAACTCAATAACTAGCTGTGATATTCTATCATAGACTCCAAGTTGTTGCCTTTAACAAGAACTATTTAAATAAAGGATAAAGGAAAACTCTGTATTGTTTCCCACAATTGCATAAGAGTCTAAATTATCAAAATAAATAATTTATCTATGTGTTGATGATGAAAAATTTATATCACAAGCTAATCTCTCTTTAATTATTATTCACCTGAGCTTAAAAATAAGAAGTCAAATATTATAGTGGGATTCACTGGCTAGGAACTATGGTGTTGGGGAAGAATACTAAATATCCCATAGATTGTCAAAATAACAAACACATATGTCATGGAAAAAGTACTGCCAGAGTGCTCCTTGGAGGCAAAGATTATAAAGCTTCGTCTCATATACTTCGGACACGTTGCTAGGAAAGGCTATTCATTGGAGTGAGAAAACATGCTTAGGAAGGTGGAGAGATATCAAAAGAGAGGAAGATCTTCAACCAGGTGAACTGACACAGGGCATCATAGGCTTGAGTATTTCAGAGATTGTGAGTAGGACAGGACAGGGTTCAGATCTGTTCATATGGGTCACTATAAATCATACTCAACTCCACGGCACCTACCAACAGCAACAAGTCGTGCCGTCGAGTCGCTTGTGACTCACAGCGACCCTATGTACAACAGCCCTAAAGCCTGCTCTATCCTGTGCCAATCACATTGCCTCTGACACACCCATCCTGATTACCCCAGTCACTGAATCAATCCACCTCATAGAGGCCCTTCCCCTCCTACACCGTCCCTCCACCCTGCCAAGCATG